AATCTAATGTATGAAACATGATATGTCAAGAGCTTTTTAATGTTTTGAACAACCAATAAAAAAAATAATAGTGGCAGAACAGAAATATGTTACTTCAATTTTATAAGGAGTAATTTTATTGTATTTCTTCTTTTAAGAAACAGAAATAAAAACATATGATCCATAAACACATTCACAAAATCTTATTTTTTATTTTATCTTTTTGTTTGTTTTTTTTGCTATTCCCTAGTGCCAAGAGAACCCAAGATTTGTACACATGCTAGGCAAAGCTGTACCACTGAGCTACATCCTTGGACCCTCTACCTTGAATATTTTTATAGCTTTGTTATAGAAACATAAGAAAGAGTAAAGATCTCTTCAAGACATGCTAGTCGGAGTTCTCCCTAACATAAAATGCAGCTGAAGCATTTCTACAGAGAGGCTAAGCCTGCACAATCGTATGAACTAAGCCAGTACATAATAAATACTGAATAAATATTTATTAATTGGCATTTTATATCTTAAGCACTGATTGGGGAATTCACAGTGTCATAAGGCACTATGTTGTTACTATTTTTGGTATCTTGCTTTTGCTTTTGTTTTGATACTGTAACACAGACATTCAATGACCACAAATAATATGTCTCCTGAAATTAATGTCTCCTTATTTGCATTTGCCACTTTCTATATTATGATAACTGTTTTACAGTAGATAGAATACACAGTTGGGAAATCATGTATTTTAAATGCAGGTTAAATACAAATATTAACCACAAATCTTGATCAGGGCATGGAATGTCTTATTGCAATTAGGCTTTACTTAAAGAACAATTATTCTTTATAATGTCTGTCTTATCTTCTCTTATGTGTAATCTTCAAGTTCTTTTCTAGAACTAGGGCAGACTCCAAGTACTTTGAAAGAGATCAAATATCATGTTGTAGTATTGATTCTATTTGGTGAGGCAACTTCAATTCAGTTCCTCTGTGAGCAATTTCTTGGGTATGTAGTGAGAGAACATACAAAGAAATAAGGCTCAGGCCCTGTCCCCAAGTAGCTTTATGATGCAGGCAAAGAATAGACTCAGAGTGACTCCACATAGAAGACAGCAGGAGCAAAGACTAAGAAAGGGGAAATGCTAGGCCAGGGGAGGCAACTTGGGTTTTAAATAGTCTAAGCCATTTTTTGTATCACTTCTAGAAATACGGCTTACTATAATGGAGAATCAGTGACTGGGGAACCAGAAGAGAAGGTGGTCATCATCTAGCTATATGACAAGTTTTAGTGAGAACTGCCAGAGCAAGTTCAGCATCAAAAAGAGACTGCAGAAAGACTATATTATATTTAGGTATGAGTAAGACTAGAACATGAAAGATCATGATAGCTTCCCAACACAATTAGCATTGACTTGCAATCTATCACTTAAGCCAGCCTTCCAGAAACTGAAGCCTTGGTACTTCTAAAGAAGAACAGTAATTTATGACAGGTGAAAATGATAAGAAATTTCAGTTTCAGTCTACAGAAATGAAACTTTATATCTCATATGAGGTTTATTTGCAATAGTACCCTTTCCTCCCTCCCTTGCCTTTTTGTTCTTGCTGCTTTTCTGTTTTTAGCAGTATTTTTAAAATTTGACACAGTAAGAAATGTCAGTGTAGTGGTGGATGGATTGGCTTCTGGCAATATGAAGCTGACAAAATGTACCTCTCCTCTAACTGCTACATTCACCAGTCTTGCACTAACTACAACTTCTTTTTCCCCAAACTAAAAAATAAAATCATCATAAGAAAGCAATTTAATACCACTGAAAGTATTAGAATTCAACAATTTTATCTGAAGGTGAATTTAGGTGAGGAAGCACAGTTGTTTCAGCAAGCACAAATAATGAAGGGACAAGTGTCTTGTTTATGTGCCGTGGGAGACTAATTACACAAGTGCTTGTTGATATGTTCAACAGCTATTTTTTTTTCATTTTTCTAATTTTTGAGCACACTTTGTAATCATCTCTAATTTGGAGCAATTTAGTACTGAATTGCTTTCTGAGGGGAAAAAAGTGATTAAGACACAGGATAAATTATGCCTCAATAATGGTAAGTAGGAAAAAAAAGAAGTAGGGTGAATCTGCTTGAAAAGCAATGCCATGAGATTCAGAAAGAAAATGATAATGTTTCTAATGACAAACATCTTGGTAATATGTTAATTGTCATTATTACTAACAAAGTAATTATAATCATTCTTGATATTTGTACAATAATTTTGAAGTACTAAGCTTGAAGTACTAAAATACTTTATCATTTTTTACCTTCACATAGCTTGTCAGGTTAAGAGGAGTTTGGAATTATAATCCTCAAATAGCATAACAGAATTGAGTTTGCTATTACAAGACTATATGATAAATAAGTTGGTAGAAGGCTCAGAAATACACTCTTTTAATTGTTTACTCAAAGTATTTTTTCCGGTTTCTCTGTTGTTTTTGTTCCATAATGTCCCTCTTGGCTCCTTCTAAACCACCAAAGACAGCATGTCACTTAAATCATTATGGGAGGTGGGGGTCAAGAAAGGACATAACAGTGGTATCTTAGACTCAATAATGATGTGAACTTCATCAAAAAGCATGTATAATTGTCCTTGGTCATTTTTTTTTCTTTTAAAGATATCTCTGTCTCTCTGTCTCTCTGTCTGTCTCTCTCTCTCTCTCTCTCTCACTTAATTCAAAAGTCATAATGTTTATTGTTAAAAAATCTACTAAAATGAAAAAATACATAAATTAAAATCAAATTTTTTATTCCATATCTTACTGTTAATAATTTTATGTTTCTTCTACATATTTTGCTGTATACACCTATATAGTTTTATTATTTATAAAGACTGGGATGTAGAATAACATAAGTTCTGCCATATTTTTCACTAAATGTACCATTGTCCTTTTATGTTAACACATGTAGATTTACCTTCATCAATTTAATGACCACACTGTTTACCTTTCTGTCTTGATTAAAAGTTATTATGGAACAAATTAAACTTGCTTATACCATACAATTCTACATAACAATCATGTATTTTTAGTAATTTTATCATATTCCCTACAAGCATAAATTCACACTCCTCATCTGGCATGCACTGATATTAGTGGAGAAGCACTTTCCTCCCTCTAATCCCTCCAAAGTTTTGCTTACGTCTGTTATATGCATCTCCTTTCTTCTGCAACAGATGAACAGCAAGCATTCAGAGAAGAAGAGACAGGAATCAGTTTGGGAGCTTCTTAAGCACAATTGTGCAGAAAAGAATAAACTCCTTATGGAGAAGTATTTTTATATTACAGTAATTGCCATTCTAGGAACAGGTGTTTGGAGCCCCACTCAAGGGAGAACTGGAGCTGGTAGAAGTAGAAGAGGGGAAGATGAAGTTTCCCTGGCTACAGCCCCATGGGACAATCACAGGAACAAGGGAGGTGATCAAGTAGAGTCCCTGGAGCCTACTGCTACCCCCCAGTGCCTTCAGCAGGGACAGAGTCCTACAGAGATGATGACACACACCATTAGCTTATGTGACAACGTTCACTATTCAATGTTCAGACACAGCCAGGATGTAATGACACCAGTATTATAATATCATCATTCCTGGTTTTATATCAGTAGATAAAGAGTTTGATGATAAACCAACTATTATAACCCAAGAATCTTCTTGATATCGGTAAGCAAAAATTATCTCTTGTGAAATGCTTTATAGTTTGCAAGAAGTTTACACATTCATGAGCTCATTTGAGGTCCCATTGTGTGTTTCTTTGGTTTTTTAATATTTTTAGTTATAGATGGACACAATACCTTTACTTTATTCATTTATTTTATGTGGTGCCGAGGAATGAACCCAATGCCTCACATATGTGAGGCAAGCGCTCCACCACTGAGCCACAACCCCCAGCCCCACCAAGTTTTAAACAGAACAGGTATCCTGCACCTTATAGGTGGAGAAACCTAGCTCAGAACTTAAATGATCTATCCAAGTCACAGAGTTGGTAATGGAAGGGCTGGACTTAACAGCCTTCTTTGTTCTGGTTCAACACCCAATACTCCTCCAGGAAAACAATATATTTCCCTTTAGTCCCCAGGAACCAGACAGGTAACAAACTTAAAAAAAAGAAAAAAAAAGCACGTGCAAAACACCTCAGGAAATTTTAAAATAACACTATTATAGCCAAACTCCTTAGTCAGCTCTGATTTATTATTTTTTCTCTGCTGTTGAGTTTGCTTACCAACTATTATAATCCAAAGTAAGAGCAACTTCATCATTCACAAAAACAAATAAACCAGGTTACTCAACGTGTTTCAATAACATGTTTCAGAGGCAGAATAAATGGGAGAGGTGGAAGAAATATCATGCAGAAAGTATTTCCTGTAGTATCACTGAGGCTTGGAGATAAATATTAACTCAAAAACTCAGGAGGTTTTGAAAAGGGCAATCTCTTATGTGTATCCTCAGAGTTTGGATTTGGAATAAAACAGAAAATTATAAGGAGAATGGAATTAGAAACTCTATCTAGAACTTGTGTGATTTGAACTGCAATGTATCTCACAGGCTATTTGACATTCTAGAGTGCTAGAAATAGGCTTAAAAGATGTAGTTCCTATACAAGTTAGCTCCATAGCTTGTCCATAGCTAGTCCATAGCTAGCTTTACAAGTATTAGCTATCACATAACACTTTCTACAGGCCAGAAACTATCACAGACACCTCATATATACAGTACTTTCATCTAATTCTTATCATAATCCTATGAAGTAGGTACTGTTACTATGGTCTTCATTTTTTTGGAAGGAGAAACTGAGGCACAGAGAAGTCAAATTACTTGCATAGGGCCAGCTGTCAGAGCCAAGACTGGCTTCAGCATCTGGGACCAGGGTTTGTTCTAAACCCTATACTGCCACCTGAATGTTCTTTATTCCTCAGATATATCTGTTCTGCCTAAAGAGTGTATGTGGGCTTCCTTGTACCGTCTGTAATCCACCATTTACTTTCTTCCTCAGGCCACCCGTGACGAGGGCCAGGAAAGCACGGCGCGTGGAGCCCTGGGTTGTTGGCCTCATCACCTTTTTATCCTTGATTGTCCTAGCAGTGTGCATTGGACTCACTGTTCATTATGTGAGATACAGTAAGTATGAGCTGCCCTAGAATCATGTGATTTACCCCAAGCATTTCCTCATGTACCTTCCTGTTTTGTTTTGCCTGGGGCTTGTTCATTCATTGCTGTGACTCATTTGCATAACCCAGACACATCTTTACCTGCTTCCTTGTCCTTCACTTCCATCCACAAACCAAGGAGGGGTTTTCTTTCTCTCTTTGATATAGCAATACTTCCTGATGGGACTAGCATGCTAGTTTTCATGTTAATTAATAAGTGATAATCAAGTCTTAAAGAGAAAAACCACAGGTTAGCTCGATTCACTGTCTTGTTTGAGGAAAGTAACTTAATTTAACTGAAGTCTTGACATCCCTATAAATTAATTACACAATAAAGATTATAGAGAAGTAGGCTCTATTCTGTACTAACAAATTGGAAAGATCCCCATAGTTGTGTGATGTTGAATAAGTGCCTATTTCTTTTATTTAAAATCTTATCCTCAGCTATAGTGTGATTAAAGAAGACAGGATATGCTGAGGTTAATTTTAAGAGGTTCACTCTGCGGTTATCAGATATCTCACTGCCAGATGAACTGCTAGTTGCTATGTTATTAGAAAGGTCTCCAGGGTACTGTAGAACAATTCTTCCAGGATCTAACAATCCTTCTGAAGTTTCCTTCTATCCTGTCTTGGGTTTTAATTAGTTGACTCAACTATGACCTCTTAGTTTAATATCTCCCTCTGTGATTAGATTATTCTTTGATATTCAAGGCCTTGAAATCATGAAAGTTAATCACTTGATTCTAATTTAATTGGGAATTTGTTAAAGGTGGTTTCCTATAAAGAAATAGAATGATTCGTAATCTGGTCATCTTCCTCCATTACCCACACATGTCCAACCTCATCTTCCAAAGCGAAGTAGACCAATTCTGGTCAGTTTAAAAAAAAATATTTAAAACTGTGTGTGTGCGTGCGTGTGTGTGTGTGTGTGTGTGTGTGTGTGTGTGTGTGTGTTAGAATTTGCCCACATGCAAGTCTTTAAATTAAGGGTATTTTCATTTGAGAACAGAGATTTCTCTGATAAATGCTTTTAATAAAAATGTATTACTGATTACAATTCTTTAGTTCTGTTATGAATTTATCAAGTCCCATTATGTCGTGAGGATTGTGACTTCTTCCCATGGATGCCTAAGACTATGGCTTATTCACTTTTATATTTCCAGAACTTCACAGAATTCCAGCACCTATTAGTTACTTTATAACTAATTTGAATATTGAGTGGTGAAAATTAATGAATCATATCTATGATTTTTTTTTTTTTTTTGGATTCTCTGACTTCACATGAAGTTCCTAGTAATGCCAGGGGCCTGATCACTTTCATGAGAGAAAATGTTATTTGCTACTTCTCCTTTGCCTGTTCTCAAGCCAAGTTTTATAATATTGTATGTCTTATTCATATATATACTGTGAAGAACTGGCACTATTCTTCTAGTTACCAATTCCTGAATCCCATTGTTGAGATGAGCAGTTTGGAAATATGGAACCCACAGCTTCCACAGCCCACACAGTACACCTGAATAAACAATGATTATTATGAGGTGTGTAACTGCCGTTTTTGTGCCCTGCCCTCTTGGCAGATATAAACTAACAACAAAGTACATATAAATAACCAAATAAAAAACATTTGTTGCAGAAATAGATATTGATAAAGGTAATCAGATTAGAAAAAGTATCATTTGAACCTTACTTCACAAAGTTCAGGATATCTTAGATTTGTGTGTGCGGTCTGTGTCTTAGGGTTTCCACTTCTGCACCTTTTTGATTTTTTTTTTTTTTTTTTTGGTGTGTGTGTCTGTGTGTGGTGCTGGGGATTGAACCCACGACTTTGTGCTTGTGAGAGCTATATCCCCAGCCCTACCTTTATAATTTGAATGTCAGATGGTGAATCTGTTAATGAGTGATATCCCTGCAAATTATTGAATCACAAACCTGTTAGAAAATTATCAACAAACTCAACAGTTGTCCAGATTTTTCTTACTTGTCTGTTAATATTCCAGATCATAGTTTTCAATATCTAGATATACCATATAATTCTGAAAACTGTAAATATGTTTTAAAACTTACTGGCCTGTTTACAGAGCAAAGTAAACTATTTGTTATAGATAAGGTGTTCATGTGGCTGTGACTGAAGCATACAAAATTACTGATATTTGCTATGCAAATGACAATTTCAAAGGATTCAACCAAACAATTCAAAGAATCCAGGTCTAAGGATATAGATTAGGTCTAAGGATAAGGTCTATTAGCTTCTGTTCTGGAACCTTACTATTTAATGTGTAATTAAGTCCTAGCTGCATTGGCATCACCTGGGAGCATGCTAAAAAATATAAAATCTGTGTCCAATGTTAGACCTAATGTGCCAGAATCTTCATTTTGATCAGGATCCCCAGGTGGTTCTTTTTTATATTATAGTTTGAGAAGCAACATTCTAGAACAATGAATGTAGTTACACAGAAAGTTATAGCTAACCATGAGACAGATGTAAAAAATGCAAATATGATAAAACATATTATTTTCATTAAATTATAAACTTTACTTGAAATGTATATGTATATTGCCAGGGACCTGCCTGCATTTCATGTCACACTGGCCGTTCAAAGTTATTCAGGGAGAGGGAAGAGAGGAAGGATAAGGAAGGGCAAAAACTCCCTCCTTCCTCATGTAGGTTGCTGGTGCTCAGGAGACCTTGAACTTGAATATCTCTAACCTCCCACCCTCATCCTTACATCTCCAGCTATTCCCCAGGCCTTGACAGAGTCTGACGAACAACTTCCTTCTCAGAACCCCCAAAACCTTTGGATGGGCAAGATCTGGGATTCTTTTGAAATTTACCAAAGTTTACCAATAGTTTTTTGAATGAAATTTACAATTAAAAACCCATAGTTTCCATGAAAGACAATGTTTTGTTTTGTTTTTTTCCCCACTTCAAGAAGCAGTATTGCAAAAGAAGTCTGTGCTTTAGGAGCTAAGTCTCAGCTTGAAATTCAATTCTCTTCTCTGGCTATGTCACATCAGGGTTGGGCAAATTATTTATATTTCTCAGACCGGAACCCTCTAAGTGTTGATAATTCTGCTTCCTCATGTTGGGTGTTATTGTAAATTAAATGTGATATATGAAGATGCCTGAGCCACTGGTATTCATTTGTTTGTGTGCTCTTCCTCTGGGGTTTAAATAAAGAGGAAAAGAATGGGAAAGAACCTAGAAGAAGAGAGAGACTGAAAGTGGATGAGGCATAGTCTCTTATAATGAGCATACACAACTGTCTTGCTCATTACTGTATTCCTGATGTTTAGCACAGTGTCTCTCACAGAAAAGCAGTTGGCATATATATTCATCAAACGAGTGGGATGAGTTACTGAAGGCTCTGTGCTTGCATCACGTTTAGGAGGGTAGAGAAAAAGCTATGCCGCATTAACCCTTCAGTAGGTCAAAAGTGTGGGCTGCTTAAATTGGATACAAAAATGGAGACAGTAGCTAAGATGACAAGACACCTGCAGGTGGTAGAGAAAATAAATGGAGGGACAAGGGTCCCAGGTGAAACTAAATATTGTCTTCGGAATGTTATGAAAGTTGGCAGTTCTAGCTCCCTAAAGTGAATCCCTAGCACTTTAATTCCTATCCTCATTTTGCTTTTTAGCTAAAAATAAATTTTCTCACACAGCGTCCAGAATTGATGTATAGTTTACTGAATTGTTGTGGGTGGGGGACGGGGGGATAGTCTACTTTTGGAATATAGAAAGGCATTCAATCTTGGGAAGCTTCTGAATCTATGCTTGTTTGTGTGCTCAGGTGGCCTATTCAGGAATGGAGAATACATGAGTAATCAGTCCCATAAGGCCAATGTGGTATTGCTACAATGCTCCAGGAACACCAGGTGTTCCTTACAGCTTTTGCACTCTAACTCATATGATGACAAATGTTCTCATCTTCTGAGATAAGCCCGGGGCAAGATGATGAAGAGGATGACCTGGGTTAGAGCATTCCTCCCTGTCTAGTCTTTCTAGCAACCACCAAATGGGATAATAATGGTGTTTAACACACATCTGATAAAAATTATGATGGATTTCTGTCTCTTTCTTTGTAGATCAAAGGAAGACCTACAATTACTATAGCATATTGCCATTCACCAGTGACAAACTGTATAATGAGTTTGGAAGAGAAGCTTCTAAAAATTTCACAGAAATGAGTCAAAGAATTGAATCAATGGTAAGCAATTTTTTTCCTCTACTTTTAGGACCTTTGCTGTCACTCTTTATTGTACATTTTAGTATCCTACCTTCTAACATATCCATTCAATTGATTCTTGCATACCTTTCAAAATGGTAAGAGGCATATCTAAGGCATACGACAGAAAACCTCAGAAGAGTATGTCTTCAAAGGCTGAACCAAGTGAACATCAGCCATTCATGTGTCCTTCCTACTCACCATTCCTTAATCAGCGTAATATTCTCCTTCAGCAGAGTCCAGAAACTCTGGGACAGTGAAGGTGATTCAAATGCTTTGTTGCACCCTAGATTTCCTAAAGAATCTTTCCAAAAGATTGCCAAGATTGAAACTATTTGGCTGCATACATGAATAGCATTTTAGCTTTTAAATCTACCTAACTTTGAACTTGCTTTTGGTATACAAATTTACAGGAAATCCACAAATCAGCCAAATCTCTGTCTGTAAGGTATCAACGTTATTTTGAGGGCTTAATCAAATATTTAAGAAACTAGAAAATTTTTGCAGAATGGGCTAAAAGAACAAGGGCTTGAGTAATGAATTCTCATCACTATCAGATAACTTAAAGAATAATTTGGATTTTTCTTGATAGTCTGTGAGGTATGATGTGATGGAAAAAAAATCCTGAATTAGGAATTGGGACATCTAATTCTAATACCATCTGTGAAGTGTCATTTGGCATATCACTTTAGCTTTCTGGATAAACTTCCTTATATGAAAATTTCAGTGTTAAATTACATAATTTCCAAATTGTCTTCCATTTCCAATATCCCGAATAAGAACAGAATGGAAGTGATCTATATTAGTCTGTTTTCTTTGCTATAATGAAATACCCAAGACAAGTTACTTCATAAAGAAAAGAGACTTATTTGGGTTCATAATTCTGGAGGTGTAAAGTCCAGCTTTCTTGCTGATGGAGTCCTAAGGTAGTCCAGGGTATCACATAGCAAGAGACAGGGAACATGTATGTGTATGTGAGTTTTCAGTGCCCCCCCTTGAAGTACTGGGGATTGAAGCTGGGGGGGTGGGTACTCTGCCACTGGACTATATTCCCAGCCCTTTTTATTTTTTATTTCGAGACAGCATCTTACTAAATTGCCCAGGCTGCTCTTGAACTTTTGATCCTCCTATATCAGCCTTCCTGTGTATCTGGGATTACAGGCATACCTCACCTTTTCTCTCTTCTTCTGTAGTCACCAGGATTCCATCATGGGGCTCCACTAAAATGACTTTATCTAATCCTAATTGCCTCCCAAATGTCCACTGCTAAATATTAGAGTGAGCTTGAATTTCCACTCCTGTAATGCTTCACAATGGGGATTAAATTTCAAATCAGGAAGATACTCAAGTCATATCCAGATCATAGCTGGACCACACACTCTTCCTATCTCCAGAAATATAGCAGACTGGAAGCCAGAACATTTAGATACCTTGCTGAGAAGGGGGTCAATCCTGGTTACATTTGCAAACAGTCAATTAGAGGAATGTATAAAGTTCTTCTCTAAGGCCAATTACGGATATAAAGTAAAGTCAAGAAGTCAAGAAAAGATGTAACTATTTCCCTGTTCTCTGTGCCATTTGCCAAAATCCAGATCCAAATTGATATATAAATCTAAAAGAATATAGGCAGGACTCTAATATCTTCAAAACTAATAATAGCTTTGAAATTACTTGATAAATATAAGTAAAGTAAATAAATATTCACAGAACTTATTTGTACTGATTTGTCTCATAACTGTAGAAACTGTCCTACTTAGGATTCTATGAAATATAAGAAAGAATAAAAAGGCTCATTGCTCTATCAATTAATCACCAGCTTGGAACATCTGTACGTAGTAAATATTCACACAATGGAAACAAGAAACACTTGAAGTATTTACCTACATATAGTCCAAATTTAAAAAATTAAAGTTAAGTGTGGTGACATGAGCCTGTAATCCCCAGTGCCTTGGAAGGTTGAGATGGGAACATCACAAATTCAAGGACACCTCAGTAAGTAAGCAAGAACCTGTCTCAAAATAAATATTTTTTGGAAATGTAAAAAGGGCTAGGTATTTAGCTCAGTGGTAGAGTACCTGCTTAGCATGTGCAAGGCTCTGGGTTCAACCTCCAGAACTGCGATTAAAAAAAAAAAAATCTCTAGAAATCTCATTTGTTTGTAGTTAGTAAGAAACATCGCCACAATATATTCTTTCATCTTATTAGAATAAGCTTCTCAGACCACAGATGTGTGTGTGATATACATTCTAGTTCACATGGGCCTTTTTAAGAGCACTTCAAATGCTTGAGCTGGTCACACATTATGCCAGGATACTTGGCAACTTTTTCACTAGGTTGAAAAAGTTGACAGAATTATTTCATTTCCTTTGTAGACCTACAGCAGTTCTTATATCAGAGTATAAATACTTTTACTTTTCATGAAAAAAAAATGTCCATTTTTCTCTGATGTCTTTCTGAGTACTACAGCAGATGTCACTTGTGACCTCACTGGTTCCCCACCTCCTATCATTCTCAAAGCAGAGTTCAGTTGAAATCTCTGGGATGAATACCAAGAAAGGTTCCTCAAGTTCAGCTCATTGCGAAATGTCAGTCACTGTCTTTCATTTTACATTTTTTTTAATGTTCCCTAGAGCTTTGAATTAAGTTATGGAATTTTTAAAAAAAATTATACTTGCTAACACATTTTAAATACTTTTTTGAACAGGTGAAAAATGCATTTTATCAATCTCCATTAAGGGGAGAACTTATCAAGTCTCACATTATCAAGTTCAGGTATGCTGACTTCTGAATTTAATTTAAAGCTGAAACTGTTAGCTGGGTCTGCAAAAAATATGTTTTAAAGTATTAGTAGTATGATGTAATTGCATTTAGCAAACACTTTTTGGCACCTATTCTGTGTGAGTCATGGTTTATAATGCCCCTTACTCATTCTCTGTATCTAAAAGCTAGCATTTGCAAAATGTTTACAAAGGGACAGAGTTGTCATCCATGCCTCTGTTCCAAACTTGTTTTTTTGGAAACTATTACTAGCACAATTGGGAACCTAACACACATGCTTTGGTTTAACAGTAGTGCTCTATGTGAACGGTGTGGTAAATAAGATTTGTCTTCAGCTCTTGATTCTCTTCCTTATCAATTTTATTTATTTTTGTGTGTTTTACCTCTGTATGCTTCAAGTAGTTAGCTAATCTACTATCAATAAAGTTCAGAACATAACATTTTAAACAATGTATTGCTATATGAGGATTTTAAATAATATATTCTCTCAATACAAATTATTTTTAATTTTCAAAAAATAGAATAAGAACTATTTGCAGGGCTGGGGTTGTGGCTCAGTGGTAAAACACTTGCCTAGCACGTGCAAGGACCTGGGTTAGATCCTCAGCACTACATGAAAATAAATAAATAAAATAAAGGTATTGTGTCCAACTACAACTAAAAAATTAATATTAAAAAAAGAGAACTATTTCCAGTATTATGCCAACAACAAAACTCTAAGAGTTACTTCCTAGCTCACATCTCTCAGGTACTACTTTGACAACTTCTTCCTGAAAATCCTCTACTTTCTGGTGTTCAGACAAAATCTGTTGTTGGACCTGCCTCTATTTCTCTGATCCTTAAATTTTTATAGACTCAAAGAAACCTCATTCACCCACATGGCTTCATATACTGTTGGAATCCAAGTTTCTATCTCCATTCTGAACCACTTTCTCACTATCTATAACTACATGCCTGTGCATGCACAATCAGTTTTAGAGATGTTAAGATTCAAAAGCAACATATAAGCCTGAAAAATAGTCTGACCTGGGGGAGGAAAGGAATCTAAGCCAAAAATATACGTTTGCTTATTATAAACTCAAAATATTGGAAATCATATGTGTAAATTTGTTAAAGAAAATAGGAATGATAAAGAAAACTTGAAAGATACGATATTTATGGGAATGGGAGAAAAATAGGAACTTTGGAAATAGAAAAGGACCAGGAAAAAAGAAAAATTCTGAAAGAGGCTCCACTGGTACTAAAAATAAAAAGCTTCAAGACGAGAATGGTGGACTTCAACAAATACTCCTGAGACAAATTATACATGCTGAAAAGAATCTGCTGGAGGTGTCTATTAGGAAGATGTTAGTGTTCCAATAGAAAAACAGTTCAGTGGAAATGAGGGCAAGAAGCAGACTTTTAAAAGTGTGCTGTGATAATACAGGAGAGAGATAAACTGAATAATAGGCAGGAAAGATTTTGTTTGTTTGTTTTTCTTATCACCCAGCCAGAACAGTATTCGTTTAAGAAAAAGAAACAATAGGGTTGGTGAGGCAGAAAGGGCTTATGAACCTTACGTTCTTTCAGACTACAAAAGTAATATGAAATTATATAAAATCCCAAACAGCACAGTATTTTAATAGAAAATGACAGGCTCCTGTTCAACTAGTCCACTCCCAGAAATAACACATGTTCAACAATTTATTGCCAACATCATTCCAATGACTGTATATAAATCTTTTTATTCTTTAACTGACCATATAATATTTCACTACAAGTGTAGGACAGTGTTAATTTAGCCAATGCCCTATTTATGGACATTTGTTACTTATTTTTGTTTTAAAAACAAGATTATAATGAACGTATTTATACTCATAGTCGTGCACATGTAATAGTATATTTGAATATTTAACTTCCAAATGCTGTCATTTTAATATATTTAAAAATATATTAAACAAAAATGACTTCTAGAATAGGATTCTCATTTATACTTATATTCCCTTTTGCAGTTTATGAAAGTAAGAGTTGATGCAGTATGTAGTGAGGAGTAAGATTCTTTGGAAACTGTGAAAAGGACAGGTCATAAAATGCGGTTACATGAAGCCATACAGCATGGTGAAGCTTTCCAGAAAACTTAGGATTTAGAGTTGTGTAGGAGAGCCTGAGTTTGCTTAGGAGAGGTGGACAGATTTAAGTCACAGGAATTAAATCTGAAAGCCAACAATATAGCTGATTTCATATTTACCACACATTCTATTTGGTAATTTTGAATGGTTGATGAGAAACATGTCTTTTTATGTTAATAGATATATATTTAACTAGACCCTTTGGTCGTAAGGGATACCATGAGCATACTACCTTACCATCAGGGTGGCTGAAATGGCTTCTATACAAAATAAACAACAAGAATATAGAAAGAAATATTTATGGACTGCATTTGTGTGTGTGTGTGTGTGTGTGTGTGTGTGTGTGTTTCAACTGAATGATGAGAAAAGCAGGTTGTGATAGTATCATAAATCAATGACTCTCTCTTTCCCTCCCTCCCTGCATCCCTCCCTTCCTTCTGTTATTTTCTTCCTTTCTTTATATTTTTGGTCCACAGTCAAGAGTCAGATGGAGTTTTGGCCCATATGCTGCTGATTTTTAGATTTCCCTCTACTGAGGATCCTGAAACCATAAATAATATTATTGAAAATGTTCTACATGAAAAGCTACAAAATGTTGCAGGACCCCCTAATGTCGACCCTGAATCAGTTGAAATTAAAAGTAAGTTGATTTCTATTATTTTGTTTATTTGTTACATAGAACAATTCCATGTTAGACTTGAGCACTCATTTTTAGTTTTTTTTTTTTTTAAGATGTCCTAAAAAACATGGTAGGGTCTTGCTACCAACAGGATTTTGATTTGAAACTAAATTAGAACTTAACATATTTTAATATTTTAAAAGCATGTTAAATGTATGTTTCCATGAAAGCTGGTCCTTAAATCTTATGCAGTTTCTTCTATATTGGGCCTTATACTTTGGTTATAGAGTCTGATTATAAATAGTGGCTTTGTATATACCTTTTCTTTTTTCCTCTTTTATCCATTTTATGTTCTGGAGTAGTGTTTAGAAAGGTTCATGCCATCCATATATTTTCTTTCAAATGTTATTAATATACCATCTTATAGCTTCTTTCCTTAGACACTAACAATGAAAAATTATAACTCCATGCTTAATTTTGTTATATCTTACAATTAAGACTTTGAAATCTACTGTGCATTTTATGTTGATCAAACATTTTAATTTAGACTTCATATTTCAGGAACTCACTGGTCACATGTGGTTTGTGGATATAGTAATGAACATGGTAGCACTTAAGACTAGAGAATAGGGAACAAGTAGAGAGAATGAATATAGAGTGCTAACATAAACGCTGATAGATTTAACTCACCATAGTAGCTTAAGAAGGAGGCACAGCTGTAGTAGGATGAGCTACATAATTTGTGTGTTCCAGTGCAAAATAAAAATGCCAGGCCTTTTTTCAAAAAGCAAAAAAAGTGCTGTTAATATAATAAAATATAAGATTTTTCTTATAACTATGGCCTCTTTCTTTACTTTTTATAGTATTTTTTACTTACTAATAATTAATATTATTCTAAATGAAAAAAATAAATTTTTAAATTGCAAGTATGAATTTTACCCTTCATCTTATATAATGTAATGTCAATTTTATTTTTTGGTAGAGGGGATTGAACCCAGGGGTAACTTTACCACTGACCTACATCCCAAGTCCTTTTAAATTTTTATTTTGAGACAAAGTCTTGCTAAGTTGCTGAGGTTCTCAGTAAGTTTCCATGGCTGGCTTTGAACTTGCTTCATCAGCCTCTAGAGAGGCTGGAGTTACAGGTGTGCACCACTGAGCCCTGTGCAATGTTGATTTTAAATGTAATTGTAAGCACATTTAACATGTATGTAGATTCATCAGAATTATGCAGCTTTATTTCATATCTGTAGAGCCAAAAACCACAATGTATTTATAAACATAATATTTGGAAAAAACTTGTGTCTATACTGAACAATTACTGACTGTTTTGTTATTATTCCCTGAATAGCACAGTATAACAATTATTTATGTAGTTTTTATATTAGGTATTGTAAATACCCTAGAGAAGATTTAAAGTATATAAGAGGGTGTGTGTGTATTTTATGTAAGAGACTTGAGCATCAGTGAATTTTGATACCTGCAGGGGTGTCTTGGAACTAATTCCTTATAGATATAGAAGGAACTACATTTCATGATTCATTCATGCAAGTATAATCAGCCTTCCATATCTACAGATTCATATCCATAGATTTAAACAACATTAATATGTTTGGAAATGCTTGGAATATCCTTTTAGGCTCCTGTTACTTTTGTGTGTGAGTCAATGGCTTTTGTGAAAATAATGATGTGAATAGAAAGGAAAATAAGATAAAATCTGGAGTTCCTCTTCTCTTCAGTCCTTCTTCATCCATTAGCGAGCTGAAGGCAGGTTCCCAAGACTGTCAGTGTCCCAGTTCTTAGTGATATTCATGACACACTTATCTTGTATATAACTGCTTTGAGTCTTGCTGAACTCCCACCCATCATGGCCCCACCAGAGTTCTGATTTCATAGGGCATTGTGAGTAATATATGCAAATGGAATGGCAAGAATCCATGGACACACAAATTGTGTGTATCTCCTCTGCTCACAATATGCTCCATTATCCTGTTTGATTTCACTTTCAAAACACAGTTGCAGGAAAAATTATTAAGAATTCCAGGTCAGCAACAGCAAAGCATTAAACCAAGAACCAAGCTGAGGGCGGGATACAGTGCAGCAGCACAAGTCACGCATCTGTGAGACCTGCCTTGTCAGCAGTAGCAATATACAAAGCCAGACAGAGATTTCCCTCAGAGGAGCTTGGGATGGAGAAGAACAGGTTATTTGAATGAGATCGGAGACGGTTCCCTTAATAATAACTGAGGCTAAATGGTCAATCCTTTCTTATATTCATCATTTTCTCTACATATAACTAAATGGAGAAAGTCAGAGAGAAGGATTTCTAGAATACAAATTTCCAAAAAACCAATAATAACCAAGACTAAAAGAAAAATGAATAGGTTAATATATTTGCATTTAGAATATCCTATCCTGACATGTTTACAGAGAATAGTTTTGGTTTTGGAAATCTATTAAGTCAGGAAATGTGAAATTTAGAGTATCATGTATTTGTTGTGATGTAGGACAGATGAGGCAGGACACCAAGGGATAGAAGGAATCAGGTTCATTGGCTGCAGTCAGGCTCAAAAAGGGAGCTTTCTGCCTTCATCAAATTATCCCTCTGAACCCCAAGTTCAGAAAGTGTTAGAACTTTATACCCAGTGTTTAAGGAGAGGGACGCAGAGGCTCACAATCTGTACAAGTATACATAAAAGCAGCCTTTTCACTGTTCTGGGCATGCAATTCAGGCCAAAGACACTCTCTGTGAAAATCAGTGTCTGGGAAAGGGAGAGTCCTCCTCCCCCTTCTTCCCACCAGCTGGCTCTGCAGGACCTGACCATAGTTCTTTGAGAGACAAAAGCCCTTGTAAAGGCTCCAGACCCAGGCAGCAGACCTTGAGTCCCTTATCGAACTCTGGCTCTACAAACACACCCTCCAACTGAAAACTCTGTTGTAGAAATTCTTGCTGATAGTCTAAGAACAATTATGCTAAACAGAATTTTTTGAGGGTTTCTGGAGAAGCTTAGTTACGGCAGGGTTCTTCTGGGTGGGGGACTCTGGCCTGCTTCAGTTGGTTGGGTTAGCATTTGCATAGGGTTAGGTCCTGACAGCTGAGAGGTCAACAAGGTATGAAGTCATTGGCTTGAATTGAATGACAATTTGAGGGCAGACTATCTTTGTAAAGATATTTGTATCTTTCTTCTGAAGAAAGAGACTTAGAAAAGGTTAACGTTCTTAAATGTGATTGTGGGTAATTCATGGAGATACCACTTGGATGTATTATATAAGCGGACTATGCTTTTGAGTTTAGTAAAATAATTTGAAATAATGGTTAGTAAAACTGTTATTTCATTCAGGGACTCAATACTATGGTTTAGATTTGTATTTTCCAAACAGGGGCTGTGAACTACCTGGATCTTATCTTCTGGCACAAAAATTCATGTTTTTGGACTTCACCACAAAACTACTAAAACAGAATTACTGGGAAGAAAAACAGGAATCTATGTTATAAATATGCTCCCTATGTGATTGTTATCCAAAATAAAGTTTAAAACACACTGCTTGTCTCTCTTCTAATATCCAAAGAAAAATAATAATAATAATAATAATAATAATAATAATAACTATGTTGCTTTCCTTATCACCCAGAGACACTATCTATAATGAAATTTATCAGCCTTTTAGTATTTGAAATGCTCAGAGGAACAGTGCAGTTCTGATGTGTTAACCTTTTTTTATTCACCATTTTTGTGTATTTCAGAAATCAACAAGACAGAAACAGACCACTATCTGAACAATTGTAAGTTTAATATAAAAATAGTACATATAAATTTAAATTATTTAACATATAAATAATATAAATACATATAGCTATATAACTAGTTCGGAATGTTTGATCACATCACTAAATGTCAAAAATTAACATTCTTTATCCTTTACTCTCACTTTGTGTTGCTATTGTAGGGACAGAATAAAGTTTGACTGATTTGAGCACAGCCCAGACTGCTTTACCTTACCTCTCAGGGGCACAAAAGAATAGCAAAGTTGGGATCATTCTGGAGAGGATTTACAGGTGCCTGTGGCCATGTATAGTGGAAGTGAGTTCTGCAACTATTAAGGAAGAGGCAAAAAATGTTCGCTTATCAATATTCTATTTGCAGAGATCTATAATTTCCTCTCACAAAAATTTTCTAAAGATTATATAAAAGTGATCTGTATATTGGCATTTTTCAGCTAGAAGCAGAGACTGATCACCACTCTACCCTCAATAAAATTTCTTTGATATTATTAGTTTTATAATATGGAAATCGCAGGCAATTTACAGGGTTGAGGTTTATTTTGATTAAATTACAGATAGCCCAGACAATATCTTTACCCATATTTTAAAAATGCTGACTCTAATTCTAATCCTTCCCTTCCCTATAGAAGAGAACCCCACCAAAATTCAGAGAATATATTTACTAGTTACAAAATTAGCATGTACTATGTTTTTCTTCAAAAAATGAAAGGAAATGTGCTACTCACTAGCTCAGAATGTTGCTTAATTTCTAAAGTTAAATAAACATGGAGCCAAAATATAATTTTCTCATCTAGGTGGAATATATATTCTTGCAATCAATATATATTAGTAGCCTACTATGTGCTGATACTGTTAAACATAGGGATACAAAATGGATAAGATAAAACATCTGACTAAAGCAGCTCATACTCTAATGGGTATAGATAGATGCCTGAGCCTGATGCACGAGTACATAATTCTAAAATAACAGTATTCAACAATTTTGTTGCCCTAGATATCATGCCTCATTGTGACATTTTTACCCATATTTTGAAAATGCTGACTCATTCTATACAAGTTCATCTTTACATATGTTCCTTGGAGTCACTGCTGCCCCCACCACCACCTCCAAATATGCAGAGTGCTGCTGACATCTATGATGTATAGGCCAGGGATCCTACTAAACATTCTGTGATGCACAGGACAGACACCCACAACAAAGAATTATATGGTTCAAAATGTCAATGGTTGAGAAACCCTGTAATAAACAATGTTGAGGAATAAAATATATAAAAACATAAGTACATGTATACACACATATAAACACATGATAAGCACACACATAGTGTGTCATTGTTGTTTTTGTTATTTTTAATTAAGGAAGCATCAAAGAAGTTATAACTAATCCAGTTTGGAGACATGGAAATTAATAATTATCTTAGAAGAGATTATGGCTAATTTAAATCTTACAAGATGAATAGGAGTTTATTAGAGTTTACAGAAAGATAAGAACATCAGAAAATATTTGATACCATCAGAACACTAAGTACAAGAATTTGGGATGTAGTAATACAATTTGATGCTTAGAACAACTCTAATTAGTTCTTTATCTCCTTTTGGCAGGCTGTGGGACACGAAGGAATAAATCTTCAACAGAAAGTCTCAGGATTGTTGGTGGGACAGAGGTAGAGGAGGGAGAATGGCCGTGGCAAGCCAGCCTTCAGTGGGATGGGACCCATCGCTGTGGAGCGACTTTAATCAATAGTACATGGCTTGTGAGTGCTGCTCACTGCTTTCGAATGTAAGTCCTGAACATTGAAAATTATTTGGGTGAACAAAGGACATTGGGTTTTGCACTTTTTATCTGTGAAATAGCTCATGAATTTTGAGAGGGGTGAGTTTAGTATAAATTAAAAGAAAACATGTTCATCACAAAATGCTGTAAGAATATCACAAAATTTAGTTAAAGGTTTTATGGTCTGTAAATTATTGTAGGTAAATTATCCATCAATAAATATATGATAGTTGGACAAAGAAAGCAAGAACTTTAAAATTATCTATGTACTTTGAACTTGAAGTTAAAGTATAAAAGCTGAGTACTCAACTGAGTAACTTGGTTAGAGATGGAGCTGATAAGATTATAGATTTAACCCCAGTGGAAAAATTCCATGGAGAAAGAAGGATAATTAGGATTGTTCAATTTGAAAGTAGCAAACTAGACAATTGAACACATTAAGTAGTTATATTACAAGGAATGGAAGACTTTTCAATCCAGTGTCAAAATGTTTATAGTATATATAATAGTAATGTTTCATTAAATTATAGTGTGGCCTTCATGGTTTTCAAAGAAACCTGTATGTTTGTGGGCAGAGGACAGGAGGCATAGGAATACATTTAGTTCTGTACAAGATTTCTCTTCAGATGTTCTTTGGAGTCATGAATGCCCCGAAACATCAAGAGGCCCAAGGATCTGAAGTGGGTGACTTGTTATATAACCTAGGAAATGTGCCGTGTTGGTTTCCACATTATCTGACCCCCTCAGTCTTATTCTCACATTGGAAAAAGTTTATTTCTGTAGACAGAAGCTATTATTTAAAAAGCAAGACTGGTATTGAAACTTGCTGGTTAAATTATTAGATTGGTAGTATAGTAAACTGAAGTCTCTTATTTCTTTCTTTCTCCCTAGGTATAAAGACCCATCCAGATGGACTGCTTCATTTGGAGTAACAATACAACCTCCAAAAATGAAAAAAGGCCTCCGGAGAATAATTGTCCATGAAAAATACAAATACCCGTCACATGAATATGATATTTCACTGGCAGAGCTTTCTAGCCCTGTTCCCTACACAAATGCAGTACATAGAATTTGTCTCCCTGATGCAACCCATGAGTTCCACCCAGGGGATGAGATGTTTGTGACAGGATTTGGAGTACTGCAAACTGATGGTGGGCATCTGAACTGAAGCTTAATTATGATTAACCTAATTTGGCTTTCAAAGGCATTTAAAGAGCAGCGTTTTTATGCCAAAAGTAGGTTCATCACTCATACAAACCTGGACTGAGCCAGACTCTGGCATTTCCAAGATGCATAAATCCTTTCTGCCTTAGGTTACTATTAATTGCCTCACTACTGCTACAGTAATGATGCCGGTAAGGTGTCTGAAAGAGCAAGTATATCTCCTAGACCCTGAGTGTTTTACTAGAGAATTAACCACTTAAGAGATTTAAGATTATAAATATACCCAATTGTGAAGATCAGAGAATCATAAAGACACAATATTCCCCAAATGAAATTTTTTTTTTCTAATAATAACAATGGAGTGGTACCTAAATTTTCATTTAGACTAGTTTGGAAAAAATTCTGTTCCCAAATATTAGTGCATCTAAAACATATATCCTAAGATTCCATATTACCATCTTATCTAATAATTATGAAAAACTTTCTTTAGGTCTATAAAATCATTGTATATCTACAAATATGTTTTTCCCTTTAGGGTACACTCAAAATCATCTTCGGCAAGTACAGGTCAATCTCATAGACTCAAAAATCTGCAATAAACCTCAGGCTTACAATGGTGTCATAACTTCTACAATGTTATGTGCGGGCTCCTTAAAAGGAAAAAGAGATGCATGTCAGGTAAGTAGTTTTACCTATTAGTATGCTGCATAATTATTTGTTCACGTTTTTTGGAATAGCCATGAATTTTCAGGAAGTTGCAAAGATATTGCAGAGGAGTCACATGCCTCCTTCACCCAGCTTTCCCCAATGGTTACATCTCACCTAACTAGAGTACAGTATAAAACTAAGGAAATCGACACTAGAACAAAGGGTGTGTCTATGTCTGTGGCATCGTGGCACATATAGAGATTTGTCTAACAGTTAAGACAAGATCTATTTTATCAGCATAAAGATCCACCTTAAGAATAACTCTGCCTCCCCTAACATCTGGCAATTTTTAATTTGTCCCGTTTCTCTATAAATTTGTAATTTCCAAGAATGTTATGTAAATAAAATCATACGGTTACTTTTTCTGGATTTCCATTTTGATTTGTCTATTAATAATTTTGACTATCTGGAAAATTTTTAGTGGTTCTTCTAAATTATGTGTTTACATGTGTAGCTTATCACAGTGTACTACTATTGACATCTAATTAGTTTAGTGGAGTATAGAATAGAAAACATTTTCTCCTTAAGTCTCTTTACCTTTCTCTAATTATAACATTAAATATTATTATGTATAAACATTAAAATTTCCTCTCTGTGTTGAGAAACACATCAGAGAATATTTTGCTTCAATTGCTAAAATATGAAAAACTCAAGAGGAGAAGGAAAGTCTACTCATAGTTTTTGTTTTTTCCTCTTCTCTGACTTGCTAAGAGTCCTTGCTTTTTAATTTTGTTTTTTTGTTTGTTTGTTTGTTTTTGGTACTGGGGATCAAACAAAAGGGCTCCTTACCACTGAGCTACATCCCAGACTTTTTTAATTTTTGAGAAAAGGTCTCACTGAATTGCCAAGGATGACCTCAAACTTGCAATCCTCCTGTTTTTCAGCCTCTGGAAAAAAAAATAGTCGCCCTTATTTTCTTTTTAATCACTCTGTTAGAAGCCCCCTGTAGCCATTATTTTAGTATAGGTCTGCTGTGACCAATTCTCTTAGATTTTCTTTCTTTCCAAGTCTTTATTTCCCCATCATTTCTTAAGCACAATTATTCCAGATACAGAATTTGGGATCAAATAATGAAAGATTTATTTGAAAATGCACTCAGTCTTAATTACTTGTGGATTCCATATTTGCAAATGCACCTACTCACTAAAATGTTTTAACCCAAACTCAATACATAAGTCACTTTTATGATCATTCATGAGTATGAATAGAGTAGTAAATATTTGAATACCCAATACCTGTGCTTCCACCGAAGTCAACAAAGGTGAAACTGTGCCTTTTTGTTTCATCTTTCATTCTGTAAAGAAGTATCCTTTTCATGGTCTGTTCAGTGCTACATTTTTTATATTTGCACTTTTTTTCTGGTGATTTTTCTGTTTAAAGTTTAGTACTAAAATGTAGTATATGAAGATTCTAATGTACCATGTACAGAAAATATAGATTTTAGGTAAGTTCTGTGTAGTCATGACTTATAATACTATTGACTGTGCATTCAGTGTTAATGAATCAGCATTATATATAAATAAAGTATCTTAAAACAAAATGCATACAAAACATGGTTATGTATTGATCAGTGGACAAACGTGTGACTATAAGTTCCTGGAAAACTAACTCTATATTTCCTCTATTAGCAATGATCAATAGACAATAATCCATAGGCTGTGATGACTTGATAGAATACAACTACTATGAATAATGAGAATTACCTGTATTTTATTGTCTTTTTTATCTGTTATAGAATATTGTTTAGATATTATTCTATACCTGCTTTTCTCTTAATGATCTTTATCCTATTTGGTTCTAATTTTATTAGAACTACTACTGAAAACATCTTGTATTTCACAGTTATGATCATCATTTAATTTTCTCAGTCTCCATTTATAGTAACTTCCTAAAAATTTTAGAATATATGCGTATCCTTTCAGTTTTCTATAATTTTTATTATGAAAATTTTAAATGTACACACAAAAGTCAAAATAACAAGTTAATAAACCCTATGTACCCATCACTCATGATCAAATTATTTCATCCATACCTACTCTAAAACAATCCTCTCACCTCCCCAAAATCCTAAATCTATTTTGAAGTAAATCACAGATATCACACAATTCCATCTAAAATGTCTTCTAGTCTAAAATGTCATTTTGATAATGTGTTAAAATTGAATGTCCTTTCCAAAATTTTGCTAAGTAAAAAAGAAGAACCAAAGTTAGCCTTGTGATTATAATATCTTACTTTCCTATGGCTGAAGAAAACAACATTCTATTTTTTTCTTTCATTTTTACGTCTAGTATTCACAATTTTTCCCACTTGCCTGGTTCTGAATATTTATATAACTCAAAAATCATCAATATCTTTACTTGGGTCTGTTCTTCCTCATCTTAGTGGTGTTTGGCTACCCTTCTTTATTAAGGCATGATCCTTTAGGATCCGTGATCCTGAAATATGCTGATTTCTTTCTTCTCTTTGGTTCCCTCTTTTGGTCCATCTTTATTCCCTCTCTGTAAGCCTAACTATCCTTCAAGATTCAGGACTCAGATTAAAATATATTTTTAAATGTTTTCCTTTTTTGCACCCAAAGAAGTCATCTTTTCTTTGAACTCAGTGGCCCTGTTAGTGATTTCCAAATCCACATCATCAGCATTTAACTGTTGTCCAAATTTAGTCTCACATTTCCACCTAGTTCGAAGCCATTTCCATTTCCATGTTTTAAGTTGTTAGTATTAGGTGAAAATTTGTATGTGTGCCAGCTCAAATTCAAGAGGCATCATACAACCAATTTTTCATTTTTAAGTTTCTTACTTTTTCATTATGGGTCACTAGTCTTAGTGTCTTCTTTTGCTCTTTCATGCTTAAGTTCTAGAATATTTTTCCACTTTATAATATAGTTTATTTCTTTCATCTCTCTTCCTTCTATTAACAATCTATTCTATTTCTTCATTATTTCACATCTCATCTCATTACTACAATTACCTCCTAGTTTAACTTTTTTAAAAAAAGTATTGTAATAGTTTTATTGCAGGTTGAGACTGTATCTGGCTATCTTTAAAATCAATGTTAATGGAATTATGATGTTCTTACAATAAAAGTACCTATTTTAAGTGTACAATCAGATCAGTTTTGATAAATGTACACTTATGTAACAAACTTTAAAAGTGAGATATAGAATATTCACAACATTCTCAAAAGTTCTTCAGTACAACACTGACCCTGACAGTGGTTGACTTCTTTATAAGTTTTTGTTATAATATGTACCTTCCTTAATATACTCCCTATTCTGTTTCTCACTTAACTTTTTACTAAAAATGACAGGATTTATAGGACAGATAAAGTTTGTGAGAAAAAAAAGGACTAGAGATAGATCCTTCAAAGACTTTGCATTTTTGTAACTGGAGAATTTAAAAAAAACGTAATAATTGATACCTTGAAAAGTAACTTGGACAGTGTTGACAGACAGAATGACTAGGGGCTGATGGTTGAGCAGAGATGTTAAAAATATACAGAAACAATTCAGTGGAAATATTGGCTCACTGGTCCTGAGGCACTGAATATGGAACTGTAGCCCTGAGCACAGCAGGCTACTAGGACACAAGAACCACACTGATCTGGAGTGTATCTCTTTGGGTAAGGTACACTGGGTACACGTACTCTATATTTTCTTAAAAGAGAGCTCCTAAGGCTTATGTCTGTGTCTTAGCCAAGCTGAGAACTTTTTCCTTTTCTTCTGAACATTTTACTATTACTTTGATTATTCTAGCTCCTCTGTCTAAGGAGAAAACATAAACAATCACAACTTTCATCTTATCTGAATATAACTCCTCTATTCCCTAGTCACATGTCAGCTAACTAGTGTTTATAGAACAGACTCTATTTCTGTGATACAAGCAGAACTCTACCTTATTCATCAGCTTGTACTATTTTTAAATACATAGCTCTCTTCTTTAAAATTACTCCATTTTCAGACCCCTTTATTCCTTTATTTAATTAATTAATTTATTTTTTGGTACTGGGAATTGAACTCAGGGGCACTTGACCTCTGAGCCACATCCCCAGCCCTATTTTGTATTTTATTTAGAGACAGGGTCTCACCAAGTTGCTTAGCACCTCGCTTTTGCTGAGACTGGTTTTAAAATCATGATCTCTCTGCCTCAGCCTCCTGAGCCACAGGGATTACAGTCATGTGCTACCACACCGGCTTATTTCTATTTCTTAAATTGATTTTGTCTCTGGCGTATTGTATTTCTTCCTTCCAATCTTTTCTGCCTGCATAAAGGTTTCAGTTTCAATTATTAAAATTATTTATGTATTTATTGAAACCAGGGACTGAACCCAGGGAGGCTTAACCACTGAGCCACATCCACAACCCTTTATTAATTTTTTTTTTATTTTGAGAAAGGATCTCCCCAAATTGTTTAGGGCCTTGTTAAGTTGCTGAGGTTGATTTTGAGCTCAAATCCTCCTGAGCCACTAGAATTACAGGCATGTGCCACTGTGCCTTGCTAAAATTATGTATTTTTAAAGTGGCTTTATGTGGTACATCTTAATTTCCAGAAGCATATTCCAGGATCCTTGAAGGCAAAGACCATGTGTTTATACTCTTTATATTTCCTACCACATATGAGGGTAGCAGAAAATACTTATTGGCTAATTGATTTAAAATTGCAAACACACTACTTCAATTTTTAAAATTATTTTAGCTATTATTATTGCTAGAATTTTTAGAGGATAAAAGGAAAGTCACAAGGAAATTAGTACAACGTAGCGGAGAAGCATGTTAGATGAGTTAGATCGCTGTGCTCCCGTTCAAGTTGAGTAATTTACATTTTTTACCTTTGATCTCAGCAAATACTTAATTTTTCTGTGCTTTATTTTCTTTACTGCTTAACTGAAGAAAATGGAAAGTAACTCTATGCTTTGTTGCAAGTATTACACAAAGTGATGAAATAATGATTAATTATTTAAGAGTTTCATACAGTCCTAACTTTATGAGTGGGCAATACCTGGAGGCCCAGGATCTTGAAAAATAATCAGCCAATACTTTTTTTTTTTATGACCTATGTAAAGAAACAGACTTCCTGGGTTTGTAAGATAGAATCAATTGGTATTTGTGGTTTTATATATGTGTTTCCTAAGTTCTTCTTTGTGCTGGGGCTAAATATTTTACATTCACTGCCTTACTTAATTTTCATAAATAACAAATAATAACAATGTAGTATAAATAATATTTTAATAAATAAATAATAAGTAAATCAGAGGTCTATGCCAGCTTGGAAAGCTCAAATTTGCAATTGAAATTCAAGTATCTGAGTGGTATCTGCTTTCCTAATCAGTAATTAACTCTCTTCACCCTTTTGTGGGGAGTTAAGCCACATGAATTCATAGGCAACTTGTAGAGGGAGTTATTTTGTCAGATGTTAAAAGTACTATTCTTGAAAGATAGAAAATCTCAGTCTCAATAGTACTGAATCTCCAGGTTAAGTCAATTTCCCATGTATTGGGATTCTTCCTCTGTGTGAATACCTGACATAGGGTGTCACCTCTGTTAGAACACACTGAAGACCTTTGCAAATCGGCACTTTTGTACATTCTAAACTTAGAAAGATAACAAATTCCTCTGTAATGAACTGGATTATGAAATGCTAATCTCTTTCTTTTCCTTTAGGGTGACTCTGGAGGACCATTGGTCAGTTCAGATGCTAGAGATATCTGGTATCTGGCTGGAATAGTAAGCTGGGGAGATGAATGTGGACAACCCAATAAACCTGGTGTTTATACTAGAGTCACTGCCTTCCGGGACTGGATCACTTCCAAAACTGGTATCTAACAGAGAAAAGTCCAGTGGAATGAAATGTAGTCTTCGTGTATAGACCATTCTTAAAGAAACAGAATTATGGAAGCCTTACAAATCATCAGGATCTGACCTGTCTCGCTGAACTGTTTGATGCATATATTTCCTTCCTACCTCTGCTCTACACCTGAGCATCTTGAATTCTACCAGATGGACTCTGCTCAACCTGCATTCATTTGTTTTCTAGGTTTCTGTCATCAAAATTTTGATTTATTACTATGAGTCCCTTTTGCATATACACAATTTGAAATAATCCTGTTCATTTTCTCAACTTTTCTCATTGCAAGAAATTCCCACTTTCATTGTATGTGACAAGGAATGCAAGAAAATATGAAAAAGAAAAAAAATTATGTATGCAAAAAAAGGGTTTTTTTTCTTTGTGGAATGTGGTAAATGTTCATATTCATTAAGGAAGATCAATCTAACAGAAACAGCAGACTATTCAACATTTAAAGATGGAGAAAGAAAGGAAACTAAGTTAAAGAAATACAGAGAGAAACCAAAAGAGCTTTATTTTTATTTTTAAACAACCACAAAGATAAAAATGAAAATAATTATTTTTTTCTTGTGTCTACAGTAATTACACAAACTTTCTCTAATGTTCTGGACAAGTTAAAGTGAATCATAGTTATTTAAAATTGCACTGTTGAAGGTTTCAAGACGATAATAGTGAAATAAGTGAATCACCTATTTGCTTGACAGTATAATATAATAATCCATGAAGAAATGGAAGATGGGGAACATATTATTAGTAAACTCACTGAAAATTCTATAAAAATTTGAGACTAGAATGAAAATTTATTTGAGAACAAGTGGCATACCTTTTTTACTAAAATAATTAGGTAGTAACAGGAGGTAATGAAGAAAGAATCTGTCTAAACTATTGACTGAAATGGCCTTGACTGAATGGGATCAACAAGTGCCTGCTTGTGCATCTAAAACTTTCTCAAACTGTAAAACCTTGAAGGGAATAAGGCTTGGGCATTACTGTGTAACTGTAGTCATGCACCTGAAGCTGGGGCTTAGGCCTCCACTTTGAGATGATTGCAAATATGCTTTCTCTGCTGTTGTTTCCAGTCTTGGTTTGACTAGTGGCCCTGCTAAACTCATCTGCACTGAGATGGGAGGATATGATAGGAAATACGTTCTGAAGTTGCCTTCCTCCTGCATCTAATGCAGCACTGAATTCTAGTTGCCTAGATATAAGACTGAAGAGTAAAATCTTAATGTTGGCCACCTTCACAGTACTAATTTTGGTAATTGTTTACTGAGTCTTTAAAGACACAACATTCAAATGATCTAGACCATATTGAAATTAGGACATGTGATTTGTTAATGATGAGATTGTGCTGAGTCTTTGGTTACCCTTTTCTCTATGTATACAGAACATGCATACCATTTTGAAAAAGAATAGCAGCAGAAAAAATTTGATTTTTATCAACCCAAATAACATTGTTATATAAAATTATAAAATTTGGGAACTTGTCTAAAATGAGATATGAAATAAGATATGAAAGCTGACATAAGTGTTAAATATTTTGCATAAACTATCTTGTTCCATATAATATTTGGGGAAAATTTGAGGGAAATGATGAATTTCATACAAAGATATAAGTATATTTCAAATTAAATTACTTGCAGTGGTCCCTTAAAAATTGATTCTCCATGTATATTCTGAAGTTGGGCCACTAAGTGGCACACCCAAGCTATGAGAAGATTAGTATAAAAGGATATCTGGATTTAAGGATGTCTGTTCCTTCAAATAATAATGAAAACCATAGTCAAAATTCCATATAAGGGCCTTGCAAAAACAAATAATAGAACTCATCTTTGCAAGTGAATTTATGAATTTTTCATTTAAATTGACATCATTATTAGTATTTTCTATATTTCTTGGGGTTAGATTCCAAACTAAAGTAAAATATATGATACACGATTTGAAAAACTCCCTCTGCAAACAAACTTGAAGGGATTTAAATTAAAGAGAAAGTTTAAAAGTTTAATTTTATAAATGAATTACATTCCTCAGAAAAATATTTTTGGTATTTCCTTTTGCAAGAGATTTGAGAAATAGAGTTTTGGAACTCAGTGAAAATATGAGCAATAGTTCAAACTTCATGTGCATAGAGAAATAGATAATGTAGTACCATATTTTTAGAATAGTAGATTTGACTTTTTGTCTAACATTGTGGTGAGGCTCCAGTAGCAGCCACTGCTCTCTGTACTTCACGATGCTTCCTAAGGACAAGAAAAAGAAGAAAGATGAGGGAAAATTGGCCCCAAAAGACAGACCCAGTGACCAAATCTTGGGCTAAGCCAAAAAGAAGTGGTTCAAAGGCAAAGTCGGAACAAGCTCATCAATCTAGTCTTTTTGACAAAGCTACTTCTGTCAAATCTGTAAGGAAGGTCCCAAATACCAGCTATTGTCTCTGAGAGACTGAAGCCCTTCAAGAGCTCCTCATTAAAGGACTTCTCAAACTGGTCTCAAAGCACAGAGCTCAAGAAATTTATACTAGAAATACCAAGGGTGGAGATGCCCCAGCTGCTGGTGAAAATGCAATGAACAAGTCCAACCAATTGCACATTTGTATAAATAAAACTTTATTAAATCAATAAATAAAACAGTAGCTTTTTTTTTTTCAAAAGTAATTGATAGTGAGTTTCGGTATTCTTGACTATGTATTAACCATGGCTTTAGAGGTTAAGAAGTTGTGATTGTGATGTTTATTAACTGTACAAGAGTGTAGGAGAACAGTAGAATGAATCGGGCATAACTTTCCTATGTTCATGTATGAATACATGACCAGTGTAACTCCATATCACGTACAACTACAAGAATGGAAAGTTCTTCTCCATGTGTGTACAATATGTCCAAATACATTCTACTGTCATGTATATCTAAAATGAGCAAATACAAAAATTTAAAAAGAGAGTCCAGGAGGTTTCTCTTCAGTATCTTTTATCTCTTCCCATAGTACACACTAAAGTTGTCTCTGTATGATAATCTTTCAATTAATATTGTTGAATGGATCTTTTATTTTTGCATTATGCTTTATTATGTGCCACATAATGACATTTCAGTCAATGACAGATTACAATCTAAGATGATGCAGTCATAAGATTATAATATGGGGCTGGGGATGTGGCTCAAGCGGTAGCACGCTCACCTGGCATGCGTGCGGCCCCGGGTTCGATCCTCAGCACCACATACCAACAAAGATGTTGTGTACGCTGAGAACTAAAAAAAAAATATTAAAAAAATTCTCTCTCTCTCTCTCTTTAAAAAAAAAAGATTATAATAGAATTAAAAAAATTCCTATCATCTTGTTTTATTGCACCCATCACAATGTTGTAGTGCAATGCATTTGTGGTGATGCTGGTAAAAAAAAAAAAAAAAAAAAAAAGTCGGAACTACTCCACTGCCAGTTATATAAAAGTATAGTACATGCAACTACATCAGTACATAATGATAATAAGCAACTAAATTAATGGTTAATATATTTACTATACTGTACTTTTAATTGCTATTTTAGAGTATAGTCCTTTTCCCTGTAAAAAATATTGTAAAACATTATGAAATGTTTTGCCAAAGGTCACCTTATCCACTTTGGGTCAAGTGACTGATGTGTACCATCTAAGTTTGTGTAAGTACATGCTCTGCTGTTCACTTACAAAACAGCCTAATGATGCATTTTCCAGATTAAAATAAAATCTACAGCATACTTCCAATGTTGCCTCCTCCACGATCCTTTCTTGATTCCCCAAATATGTAACTTCCTCCTTTCTGAAATTCTTAACTACTATTTTTTAGGTGATTATTGAATAGATTTGCATTCAATTAGAAGATACAATACAGAAAAAATTCTTTTACTCAGTTTCTGGCAATGGTAGCAGCTTTCTTAACTATTGTACAATATATCATAACCAGAAAGTTGACATGAAGACCAACTATCAATGTTATTCAGATTTCACCAGTTTTAAAAATATAACAATTGTGTGTTTGCATGAGAATGTGCTTAGTTCTGTGTAATTATATCACCTATGTAGATTTGTGTGATCATCCCTCTAGTCAAGATGCTTGACTACAAGATTCTACCTATCTACTGCTACCTGGATCCCTCGCTGACCCTATCCCCTGACCAAGTCCTTGGCAAACAATCATCTGATTTCCATCTGTATAATTTTACCATCTCATGTATATATAAATAGAACAATATAGTATTATAATCTTTTAAGGTTGCTTTTTCATTCAGCACAATTCCTTTGAGATCTATGCAAGTTTCTGTGTATAAATAGCTTTTTCTTTTTTATTGCTGAGTAGTATTCCATGGTATGAATATTTGAAAGTTTGTTTAACCATTCACCCATGGAAGGACATTTCCATTTGTTTTTAGTTTTGGTGCAATTACAAATAAAATTTCTGTGAACATTCATGTATAAGTTTTTGTATGAGCATAAATTTCACTCCTCTGGGATTAATGGCCTAGAGTTCAATTGCTAAGTTATATTATTAAGTATATGCTTAGTTTTTGCAAAAAACTGTCATATATTTTTCAGATAGTTCCGTATCACTTTTTATCTCTCAGTACTTATGCTCTGTACATGTGAGAACAGAAGTGATTGTAATGACTGGACTATAAGCTCCATGTGGATAGGAACCATGTGTGATTCATTTTTATATCCTTAATAGTACAAAAAATACATTATTTATAACTGGTGTGCAATAAAGATTTATTAAGGGCTGTCTGTGTAGCTCAGTGGTAAAGGACTTACCTAGTGTTCACAAGGCCCTGGGTGTGATCCCCAGCAACACACACATCTCCTGGTTTTCTGACACGTGTATCATCATTTCAATGTAGGTTTATATTCAATAAATGTTTTGGTATTGTTATAGCCACAACCCTGTCATTTGTATTACCATAATTTTTTCTTATACAACTCTCAAGGTGGAGTGAAAAACATCCTGAGAAATGCAAGCAGAAGATCTCCTTTAGTTAACATAGATTCATCAATAGTCTCCACTTTGGCATAGCTTTCTGTCTTAAACTCCACAGTCAGTCTCTATACTCACTGCTTTCCATGTACCTTTATTCCTTTGCTTCTCCCTTGCTTTGTCACTCTGTGACACTCATTTTTTACCACTACCATGTTAAAATCCTGCTCTCCCTACTCTTTCCCTACACCTTGTACTCAAACATATTTGGAGAAGAGAAGAACTCACAATCCTCCTGACTGTTCTAGCTTCAGGTCCATGGTCACACCTCTAGCACACGCAGTGCTCCCCTGACTTGCATTTTGGCTCTCTCCTTCAATTACTGTCCAGCTCTCCTCAATGACTATTTTTGCACATTTTCATTTTCTCAATTCCTCGAACACCTTCCTCCCATCCTCATTTTTCAGTGATGCTTTTGTTTTGTTTTGTTTTTTAAAATTTTTTCTTTTTAATTATACAAGACAATAGAATGGATTTTGTCAAATTATACAT